ATCCTAGTTGGTGGTTACGGTACTAGACTGCGTCCTCTAACGCTAACTAGCCCCAAGTCATTGGTCCCTTTCTGTAACCTACCCATTGTAGAGCATCAGATTGCTGCAGCGGTAGTAGTAGCGTGATTATACGAGGTATACAGCTATCTGCTGCCCTCTTCAGGTAGAGTGTGGGGTGGATCATGTCGTCCTTGCTGTGGGCTTCCAACCTGAACATATGCAACATGCCCTTAAGGAGATGGAGGCCAAGTATGGTGTGAAGATAACATGCAGCATCGAGACAGAGCCACTAGGCACTGCTGGACCGGTACGACTACTACTATTAGTATATGGGCTTATGGTCATCATCATCCCTTGTTATCAGTTGTATCTAGCACGTGATATCCTCCTATCTGATGATGAACCTGTTTTCGTGTTTAATTCGGATGTCATATGTGACTTCCCTTTGAAGGATCTCTTGAGGTTCCATAAGAACCACGGTAGAGAGGGTACCATTGTAGTGACTAAAGTCGAGGATCCATCCAGGTGGGTATAGTATTGTGTGTACCTCAATTATTAACCTATTTTGTAGGTTCGGTGTGGTAGTATACGATGACCAGACTGGTAAGATCGATCGTTTTGTTGAGAAGCCTAAGGAGTTCGTAGGAGACAGGATAAATGCTGGACTGTAGCGACCACACCCTCTACCATACCATTACATCCCTATCAGATATATCCTATCAAATTCGGTTATAGAACAGAGGGTTCATCCCCGGTTCATGATGATCGAGACTGATGTGTTCCCTCAGATGGCAGTCGATGGTCAGCTCTATTGCTTCCAACTGGAAGGGTCGGTACCCACCCTGCTCCATCATGTTAACTTCTTGAATTCATTTGTAGATATTGGGCTGATATTGGCCAACCTAAAGATTATCTCAAAGGAATGAGTATGCATTTGAATTTCCTATCCCAGAAGAATGACGAGAATAAGGTAGTAGTAGTAGTAGTAGTAGTAGTAGTAGTAGTAGTAGCAAAGAATTAATATCATCCATGTTAAAACACGTTAAAACCTATGCTGGTTACTCTGGGGTGGGAGATTCCGAGTCTTTTTTACTACTGAATATGTTGCCAGTAGTGTTATCTTAGGCTAAGCCACATGAGAAGTTAGTACGGTGTATCCCAGGCGTGGAGATAGTGGGCAACGTGGGTTATCGTTGCGCTCAGTCCGTGATGGTATTATCATATTATTAGGTATTGATAGATCCCACAGCTAAGATAGGAGAGGGTTCCAAGTTAGGTCCTGATGTGACCATAGGCCCAGGTGTTATCATTGGTCGAGGATGCCGTGTGAAGGGTAGCGCTGTCATGGACAACGCAGTGGTAATTACTCACTACCAACTCATGCATACTCTCCTCATTGCTATTCTTAGATATCTGACTATGCCACTGTCTCTGGCTCCATTATTGGGTGGAAATCACGTGTTGGTAGTTGGACTCGAGTGGATCCTATGACGGTTGCTGCTGAAAGCGTGAGTCCCGAATTCAATTCCTACAACCATCCTCATCTGGCTTGTTGGTTAGGTGGATATCAAACCTGAATTGTACATTAATGGGGCATTCCTCCTACCATTCAAGGCCATTAAGGATTCAGTTCCTATAAATGGTCAAGTAATCATGTGATGCGACCCTCACGATAATAGACCTCTCTACCTGTATCATCTGCCTAAGAGCCAGGCAAGGCGCCATCATTACTGCCATCACACTGTGTCCACTTCGAGTACTATAAGCTTTATTGCTTCGACAGCTCGGGTTTTGTGGTGACCATTAATGTACTGATCGCTTGCCGGTTGTGTTAGGCTCGGGGCTTCGTATCCAGTAGAAATTGTACGCTAGTTTGGTTTGGTACGTCTACGCAGAAATTGTGTCGTAATGTCCTAGCTATGTCCCCTTCCGCAATTGAGCAGTTTTTCTCCATTTTCACGCTCACCTTTGTTTTCTTATTCAGCGTTTATGAAGGCTATCCTGTCGCTCGGCCTGGTGGTGGGTGTATTGGCGGATAATTCAACGACATTATCATCGTCAGGGTCGCCTCCCAGTGCGGCACCTAGGATGGGTGCTGCTGTAATGGACGTGCCCACAACTTTAATACCAATCACTACAACACCTCCTCCTCCTGCTCCGACGACAGTGCCAGCGACTGAGTTGTTTTGTCCGGCTGGTTGGTGCCATGATACAATGTGGTTCCCTGGTAGTCCGTGCATTACACCTGACCCTACTGTGCTAGGTCCTTGCTGGGATTCATATTGTAAAGCTAATGTTGCTTTCCCAACTGTGGTCCCTACTGGTAGCATTATCATTGACCCTGGTCAGGATAAGGGCTCTTATTGCAAGTCTTGGTAAATCCCCGCTGGACGTGTATGCTATGGCAATGATACTGTTACATGCGAGTGTGACTCTTTCAAATCAACATCTCCTGTTACTGCTATTCCTGGTTACCAGCCTAGTGGATGGTTGCCAGCTGTGAACTGTTCATATCCTCAACCTACTACAACAACTATCGCGCCATCTTGGAATCCTTATGATCCGGATAACGACAATGGTCAAGGAACTTCCCCAGGTGTCCCGCCGCAGCCTTCCAGTTTTGCTTCTCACCTCGTGGATGGTAGCTCTCTCGTAATCACACTGTTGTCTTCTCTTTCTATTCTTGCCGTTGTTCTGTATTGAACGTCTATTTGTTGAAAAGCTTTCCAGGTTGCTCTCGTTACTGTGGTGATATTTATTAAATATTACCTAGTACTATTAGGTGAATCGACATGAGAGTTTTCAGCCCTTGCTCTGTACTCCCTAACTAAAGAGGATATCAGGGTTGCTACTATGTATGATGGGTATCCGTGAATGAGCGTTGAAGCGGTTTTGTTTGGTGTTGTATAATCATTCTATTATTCTTGTCGTTGCTGCTGTTGGTGGAAGTTATTACGAGGTTCTATCATCATACGTTGATGTTGAATAACTCGATAATCTCGATGAAGAAGGTGCTTTTTAAACGAATAGCTCGAAGCTAGTATGCCTGTGTCCTGACCGTTGCATTGAAAGCTGCGTTCAGTTTGCTGTTCTTCATTCCCATCTAGTAGTTATTTCCGACGTTTTTAATTACTAGTGTAGTTTACTGCTCATACTGAGAAAGGTGTGTTTCGCGTTGTGATAATATCGGTTGGGTTCTCACATACTGTTATCAACAAGGGATGCGTAGTAAATAACAAAGACTTACGAGCACGTAACATGGTGTTTATCATTGATGCCATGGAGGGATTATACGCCTTGAGCAGCTGCGCGGATGGCATCATTGCTCTCTGGGCCCTTCAATGTTCTCTGAGGAATTCGAACAACATGCTATCATGTCGGTACATTTGCATGTTGTCTACCATCATTTCCTCGTGAGCTTGTTTGGCTTGACGAGGCATCGTGCTGAGATCAGCAAGGTACCTATGAATCATGTTAGTACAATATGTGGGACTTCATATCTACCCTTTGTCGCCTTCTTCAGCTAGACGGTTTAGGTCTTCCTTGGCAGCATCTTCCCATCCATTGAGTCCAGCAAGGGATCCATGAAGAGCATCTACAGATCAATGCCATATTGTAGAGTGCAAGCCTCCTTATTATCATACTTTCGTCTTGCCTAATCCTTCTCTGAAGACTTTGTCCAATCTGAGTTATATAATAACAGTAGTATGAGCTGAGAGTAGTATACCTTGCTGAAGTCTATTTGAACAGGATCGATATGAATTGGACTCGGGATAGGTTGCTCCTCGTTGTTGTTAGAGAGCAGCAAGCCTTTCTCCTTCAGCACATGCATGAAGTGGCCCTTGCGTAGTAGCTGGTGTTTGCTGTGGTGGTGGTGGTGATGGGAGCTCTCCGTACCAACACAGGCTCCGGCGATAATCTGATTATTGTTGGTTCACAGGAGCAGGGTTAGGGGACAGTTCACTTACAGCAAGAATGAAGGCGCGTGCGAAAATCATCATTACTGTAGTTAAAGGTGATGTTGTAATAGCTAAATTGAAGAGCCATATAGCCGTCATTCGTATAATTCACGCATGGAGGGTTAATCCCAGTCATGTAACAACACAATTCCATCATAACAAGAAACTTCACTACTGATGGGAACGCATAGGATCATCTATTAAATGTCCATATCATCCAAATGGCATTTTATTCGTAATGAGGACGATATCGCTCATCGTACCGTACCTCACGATACCGCTGTTGCTGGGGGTCTGCTTCCACTCTATCTAGCGCCTGATAATGAAATTCAGTCCTGGAGGATTCACCTTATATGAAGAATACCTTCTTTATCAAGTAGTATCCGCTTCCTGCTATACCACCGTAAATGGTACCGAGGAAAGATACCACAACAGCAGCTGCCGCACAGAGAACCAGAAGAAAGTATGCAACGCCTATAGAGAGCCACTTTTAATGCGACTATCTAAAGGCTACTATACCTTCAATAAGACCAGGACCATAGGAAGCGATAGCCACTGGTACAGTAGTGACAAATGCGCCTATAGCTGCTATAAGGCCAACTGTTAAATTCATGATGTACCTTGTATACAACATGCTCATACCATGGTACTGGTTCAGGCCCTACTGTAACACTGTCTGTAATATCATAGATACCAGAGTCTCATCTCTAGAATCGCCACCTGCTACTATGAATAATGCATCCCAGAGAGTCCAATGAGACGCCGTGTCCTTGCCAGCATTCCAGGACTAATGATGGCAGAGATGATTAAGTATAAGCATAGGGTATACATACATTCCAGAAGTCCTTCCTCATATCCTGTGCAGCATAGCTTGACCATAAACCCACCGTCTTTTTAGCGTCAAGCTGATTAATCAGTTCTTATCATAACAAGTATAGGTTTACTACCTGTAAATCGTATATCTTGGATTCAACTAC